GGAAGATTATGTCAGGCTTTTGCGTCCTTGACGCGCGAACTCGATGTCTTTTTCTGGAACGGCTCAAGCACTTTACTAGCTAGAATGGAATATGTCCCTCTGCTTACAACTTTTCGCGCCGTCATCGGTTAGTCAGAGATCTCGGTTTAGCCAAGCCCGATATCTTCTGTGCCGCGCGACACATTATATTTCTTTGATACCAGTACTAAATCTGGATACCTTCTTAGGACCTGATATAAGGCAGACCTCTTTCTCCCAAACGACCCTCAGTCAATCCTTGCCTTGCATCTAAATCAATACCGCCCTCTTGTCCTCTTATCTTGCATTTCATCATGTGCATTTTATCGTCATTCTCCTCGACGTCCTCCAGCAAGGACTACCATCCATACGACCGTAAAGTGTCCAACATAACTTCGCAGTCGCCGTCGTCGGGCGCGCCAATGTTCATGTACGGTAGACCCAACGAGCCACAATGCTGCCACTGCGGATGGAGGGGTGATCATGCACCAGGGTGCCCATTCAAGTAAACGTCCTGGATCTAAATCTGTGTATTTCTCTTTCCATTCTCTAGTTTCCTATCACTTACCGGCCCCTTGTCTTCAGGTCCCATACTAAATGTCATTTTTGCTCCGCGCGCTCCTGCGCTGCGAACTTTCTCCCAATTTGTGACCATCGTTTTCTATCGCTATTTCTGCTTTTGTTCAAAGTCCCCCTGTTTTTCCGCCTCGCCTAATTTCCAACCATCGTCTCCTATGACTATCGCCGCTTTCCATGTAGCTGAAATACTTATCTCAGGATCCTTTTTCCCATTTTTCTTGTATATTTGTTCTGTGTGTCTCGAACTGGTCGTACTTGAACATTCCGCTGTGACTAACTAGTAACTAATTGTAAAACTACTTCACTCGCGATACGATAGCTTCCTGTTCCTCATTCTTGTGATTCGCTCTTCCACCCTTGTTCAAAGTATTCCTTAATGCACAGTCTAGTCATTGCTACCTTATCTTAACTACGAGTTCTTCGTGAAACGACCGATTGTGAGCAGCATGGTAGTAGTACGCTTAAGGAAATTCAGTATTATGAACCACGAAAATGCAGAAACACGGAACAGCCATCTAAGTTATGAAAATCTGCCAACAGAACCATCCTCTCACCGGCCGTATAGTCCCCCGAAGCTACAACACACCCACCGCACATGACATTGAACTGCGGACTAACCGCGAGCATTAGCAAGAACATGACTCACCATACTTAGTGTATGCGTTTCTCGATCAACATTGATGGACCATACGATAAGGAACGGGCCCCCCAGTTCTCAACTTCTGGCGACCACCACGGAACCACCAAATTCCTGGCGTCTAGTCAACTTTGCGGTCCGAAGCATGCTTATTTATCAGAACGTTCTCGTGACATTACTAGCCCGCGTTTCATTATGATATACAGACGTTTGATCGCATTGTCAGCAACGTTAAATGAACTTCGCAATTGCGCCAATTCAGATAACCAGGAAAGCCAAGTTAAGCTGCACGCTGTACATTATTATGACCAAGCTATGATACGGAGTGATAGTCAGTGTATATAGAAATGACGCTGAGAACAGGAATGGTACCATGCATGGCTGATTGTCTCTTTCGGGTACCTCGACTTTGGTTATTGGCAGGAGCAGCCATCAGCTAAACGCGTGTAAATTTCTCAGGGATTGCTTTAGACACCTCTCCGTGCCATAAGACATTTTCCATGCGTCAGAGACAGCACTTTGCAGCCGTGCCGTGCGAGTTTTCCGCCACGAACCAGGCTCGGTGCACATGGAACAATGTTAGCGGACCATAACTTTGTGAAGGGCCTTGCTGACGTAAGACAAGGAGAGGCACCGCTAGTTAAATATCAGAATTCATCAACCAATCTAGAGAAATGGGAATACTTACCGCGTAGAAGGAAGAACCTTAGTATTCCCAAGCCAGCAAGTGGAGCGTTGATTCCTTGCGTATTTACATCTACACGAGAAATTTTGAAAGAGTTGCACGTATGTTCGAAGAAATTGTATTGAAACCAGAGGAAAACGGGCACTGTCAAGTCAATCGTCATCGTGTAATACACAAGAACGGTCATTGACACGTAACAGACCTCATGGCTTTATAAACACATGCATCGTAAGTCGTAAAGCATGCCCAAGGAAACATCTGAGCTGAGAAAGGTGCTGAGTCAAATGTACCTTCCTCCTGCCAACGAAAGCACCTTGTATAGCTCCGAGCAGTGCTAACCAATCTCTACCAACATTGACACACTCGAGACGAGACTTGAAGCTGAACCAGGGCATGAACTTGGTAGTCAAAGCGGTCGCACGTCGACAATCTGCTATACATACGGTGATATCGAGACAGCGGTCGAATAATGAACATATCTATGTTATCAAAGGTCCCAGTAATGTTTTCCTTCTCGTCCATGATAACGGTGCGCGACGGTCATCGAGTTCGCAGACAACCTTCGGGTATAGACGTTCATAGATAATCATTCGTTTGGGTCAATCTTTGACGTCAGCACAGATTAGCGAGAACGAAGAAAAATGGGCAAACCGAGGAAGCAGCACTGGTATCTCTAGGTCGAATATGCACCCAGTAACACTAGCTGCTTTTGGGGGAGGGGGGAATGTTCAAAAACTCGGACGTACGACCAACATGAACGCGCGGGGACAATGAAATCCAAGTAGCGACACTTAATTCGAACTGTAATGAAACGGATTAGATCCATATAGAGAAAAAGGAATCACGTAGGACCCGCGAAGAAGTGAATAGCAACTCCAAACCGATTATGCAGATGGACGCAGAGAGCGACCCTATCCCGCCACCAGAATTCTTAGAGAGCCAAGTAACGGAACACAGAGCAATCCACGTGGCGTGGGATTGTAAATCCTTCTGCGCTGGACATCTCCATTCTTGGTTTCTTCGGTCATAGTTGTGTCAAGTGCGTGCAGAACCTTTGAAAACATCGCAGGTTTTAATTCCGATACACAGGGTTATAATCTAATCAACTGCGCGATGCGTCGGAAAGGGTGTCATTAAGCGAAAGGACGTCAACGTACAATGATGTACACAAAGCGAAGTTGTTGTCGCCTTCGATAAATGGGGCATGGGCCATCATGGTCCCGCATCAAGGTTAGTGAGGGTTATATCCTTGGATCTCCGGAAGCCTCGTCGATGACTGGCGAGCTACTCTGACCCCGCCAATTTTGAATTTTGTTCATCGTATCATAAGGCAAAAGCTTCTGCAGCATCAAAGCATGAGAAAGAAGAGTCTTCAGAACGAAAAGGGCCCACTACCTTCAACGCCTTGGCACCAAGATGTTATACATGGCCGACGCGAGTAGCGAACATAACCGCATGGAGCAAGCGAGAGATGTCGATCTTTTCCGAGAAATTACTGAAATACAAGAGCACGTTAGTACACGGTGTGCGAGGTTTAAGTTTCACGAACTCACTTGTAATGAGCTTGTCAGTCATACCAAATGGGAGAAGATGGTCGACTGTTCTGATATCACTGCAAGGTAAAGTTCAGCGTCCCACATTGAAAGCAAATGTACGTCGAAGAGAATCGTCGAGATCCAGTGATGCTAGGCCTATTTTTTTTCATCGAAGCAGAGCTCTGCAATGACAAAGGATGAGAAGGAGAGAGTTTCGAGAACGACAAGGGCTCACCAGCTCCATCCTCAAAGCTTACTGGAGATTCCATCCACTCCATGGGCCAAGGGTTCATATACATGCGTCGTCGACGAGAATGATGACATTATCGTACGGGATCGCAGGCGGCGAAGGCATGCTCGTGTAATGAACTACTAGATTACACAAGTCACATCAGTAACCAGCGGACGAGGTCTAAGTTTCTCGGGTTCACATATAGTGAATTTCTCAGCCATCCTAACTGGCATCGATTGGCCTTTCTGCTACTATTGCGACGTACTGGTACTGCTTGAGCGGCTACGCGTCGCGGCTGAGTCCTTGGAATATATTCGAAAGAAGATAACCACAGTGGCGAGAGATAGCTATTGGGTACATGAGACCGACCGATGAAGCGGGAGCGCAGTGAAGGTAGGAAAGGAAGGAAGCAAGTCTCAGGTCGGACTCTCAATCAGAGGCTGTACACAGGACACCGTACGCACGCACCCGCAGCGCGTCAGAACTACAAGCACTTTCAAATTCAAAGCACATTCGTCCTTATTGTACTGGATATAATCGATTAATACACGAGTACTATCGAGGAGCAGAGAGTACCTTTTTTGTTCGGAATCACTGCTGCCTGCGGGCATATTCCTCATACAATCGCTGAAAACAGATCATCGTACGTCTACGCTCTTCAGATCGCCTGTCATAATAATCGAAAGAGCTAGAAGGGAAACAATCACTCACATCTCGGCGAAAGGAACATTAGAAGCCTACCATTGGAGGACCCTCTAATTGTCTCTCGTCTCCTGGTTGCAAAGCATCGACGACTTCATCTTGTCCTTCTGTTCGGGCCCGGCATATGAAGGTTGCCGGTGAGGACTTCAAATGCCGTCAATTGCGACAACCGGAAGGCGCTTTGTCATGGAGCTTGACGCTTTCCGCGCTGAGCATTGCTACCTATTTCTTGTTAGAAATTACCGTATGGAAGTGATATACTACGCACCTGAAGGCCTGACGGATCAACGTCTCCCTCCTGTGTTCTTCTACTGCAAAGGGTCAGGCTCCAGCCGAGATAATGGCGAGGCGTGTTTACCCGGGCTGGTCCATCAGTACAGTGGTTGCGTTGCATCGGGTTATAATATTTCCACAAGAAAATCCCCGTGTTGGCGCAGAAAGAAAAGCTAAGCTAAAGTCGGAATAAGATTACTGGCAGTTCATATGGCAAAGTCGGTGCATTGATGCATACACCACCAACTCGATCGGATGTAACCAGGATAGCGTAGCTGACACATCGCGACGATGAATATATTGATGTCGCCTTTGTATCATAACAGTAGTAAATTGACATTTTGGGCAGGATATCCCACGGACGTGTCCTTGTCATCTGGATACATTTTTCGCGATGTCCTGTGGATATCTTCTGTTTACCTTCCCCAATGTGACTTCTTTCTGTTGAATTTCTGTCAGCTGCTACATTCCGCTTACGACTCTGCCTTGGACATGTCACAAGAAGATGGTCTTGCACCGCCTGGCTTCTATGGAACCCAAATTTCCGACACCTTGCCTGATCTGCCGACTCAGGATATCAAGCTTTTTCGTCAATTTTACGGGACAACCCAACCAGAGCGATACACCTTGGATTTATCGGACACTCCCAGCGGACAGGAACTCCAAGGAGAATTAGAGGCTCTCAAAGGACGGCTGGAGGAGCTGATGGGGACTATTGGCAAGGTACGTGTCCCATCTTTTGGATTGTCCATCAGTTGCTCATTGTTCCTAGGTGGGCGATGCATCTGCCAATACTTTGGATGATGGGGAGCTTGTTGCTCTTATCAAGGACGCACTGCAGCTTCCGCGCAAAGCCAGGAGAGTGGTAGACCCTGACAATTCGGAAACTGAATCAGACAGCGATTCGGACAAGGTAAAGGTCCATGATATCGTTTAGTCCTTTGCTGATTATCGGCACCTCCAGCTCTCGCTCTCTTCGCGTGTCGACTTTCTTACCAATCCCGCCCTCGAAAAAGACACTAAATGGCACATGAGAGGCCTCGATTTGTATCTCACGTTGGATGAGCAACTAACAACAGCACGCTGCGTCGAAGCCACTGCCGAGAGTGCTCTCGTTCAGATCCAGGTGGAACAGGAGAAGCTGCGCTTGAAAGCCAAGGCATGTCGAGAAGCCATTGGGGAGAGACGCGATAGATGTGAGAGGCTCTACAATGCGAGGATGGCTTTGAAGAAGCACCTGATGAATCCAGACCTTTCTCGTTAGTGTAGAAAATCTGTTATATTGTGCTAATACGTATGGTTTGTCCGTAAAAATATAACCCGTGTTTTTGTCTTGCTGCCTCGATGTTGTCAGCGCTCAGCCTCTGCGGTGAAAGCCTCCTTGGCCTTCTTGTTGCGCTCGCGAGTGTCTTTCGCTTTGGCTCTAGTTAACGCTCGCTTCGCCGCCCCCGAAACCTGCAGCTTGGCAGAGAGTTCTTGATGAAATTGAGCTCGACAGTCACGCAGAGGAACTGGGGCAACAAGGTGACGGGGAAGGGCCTCTCGAATCAGGTGGGCATTATGGAGTGCGTGCATATTCAGGTGGAACTGCGAATGGTTGGTATGCACGATGCATCGTTGTCGCGCTGCTGTCTTGATCCTCTCTTGCATGACATAACTCGTCGATTCGCCAATCTGGCAGTGTCCGGTGACACAGTCGTGCTGGGCATTGAAGTCAAAAAGAATGTCCTAATGAGTTCAGTGTAAAACGCAGCGACGATGATAAACGGCGCACCAACCTGGGCACCAACTGCAATCAGATCTTGACTGTTAATGAGTAATGGCATATTCAGTCGACCATCCTTCACGTCGGCGACTTGGAAATGCTCGATAATGATTACCACATTGTTGTTGGTCAATGGAAGGCCTGTTTTTGCCAGTATCTTGATAATTCTTCCCGTTTCCGTGACCTGAAACTGGCGTCAATCCTCGAAAAAAGATAATGGCGGGGTTTATACTGGCCTCCTTGTACTTGAAAAACACCCATGAGCTAATTCGGCACAGATTTCTGGAATTCGAAACCACCAGAACACCATTGTCCCAAGTCTGACAGTCGAACGGCCTTGAATCCAAAGGAGCATTGAGGACATCGAGTCCTTGCATACATGATTCCCAAGTAGATGTACAGCGTTTGGTACGTGGCGCTAACTTGACATGCCCTTGAAAGAACAAATCAGTGGGTAGTTGATAAATAAGAGGACTGACACGAATACCTGGCTGAAGAAGTGTCTCGTCTGCCCATCCCAGACGCCGTTGGAGTTCGACATTCTTCTTTAAGAAGATCTGAATCTTGTGACCTGCCTGTATATATTGCTCACTTTCATCCTTCCACCATCCACCACTGGCCATGTGTTTAAATCGCTCCATATCAGCCATCGTAATAGCGATGTCACGGCTCGGAGCCAGGTGGTTGGAAAGGATGCTGCACATGCGGAACACTGCATTGAAGCATTCAAAGATCTCGGTCGCAAAAATGACAGCGGGTCCAAAGCGACGAATGTCATCGGGGAGGTGAGTCAAAACATGAAGCTTGACTTTGGTGATGATACGTCGTGGATCAACAATGGCCCATGCGTCGAGAAGATTGTCAATCAAGACTTGTAAGTCAATCTGTATAGAATAAGCCTCTTTGAATGTGAAGAAGGCATCGAAGCTGCGTACGAGATACTGGTCAATATCCCGAATTTCTGGATACCACAGTAAGGCCCCCAATTCGCCCGTAGCTTTCCATAAAGTGAAGATTTGTGGGGGGCAAAGCTCATGAAGGTGAAATATGGCCAGCTGCTGCAGGGTTTTGAAGTGCTTGCCAATAAGCGAGTTCTTGTATTGAACCAGATAGGCTGCGCGTGGCTGGGCAATTGTAAGGCCATGGATGCACGAGGATTGTAGTCGGATGGCAAAGGTATCGTCATTTTGCTTGGACCATGTTTTGCTGGTATCGTGCCATACATACTTGTCGTTGCCGAGAAGATACGTGTGGAGAATTTCTCCAGGGGTGTCGCGATGTGGATCAATACCTGAGGAGATGTGAGACCAGTATGCTTGGCTGTGGTAAATTACAGTGGTGAGCGCACCTCGTGTCTGAAGCAACACATTGAAGTGGTCGCCTGCACGTAAGTCCCTTGAAGAAGCTGTAAATGGAAGCAATTAGAGCACCAAGAAGAATCTCGTGTTGGAGGGCAACCCACGATCATTTGGAGAGAGCTTCTTGTACGACTCCTCTGGTTGTTGAATAACCCAATCCCATAACTCCTGTTGAATCGCATAAGTTATCTCCTCCACCACTGCTCTTCGTTTCTCTCCCTTCAATGCTTTGTCCCTCAAACGGGAATCGCATGTCTCGGCATTCTTGATTCTCTCATCCTGCAGTGCTCTCGATTTGATTATAAGCTGCTCGATCCAATACTGCGAGAGCTTATCTTTAACGCCAGATGAAGCGGACGCATTTTTGACCCCCTCCTGGTTTCCTTGACAGGCCAGCCAGATCTGCCACCGGATAGCTTGTATCGTTTGCGTGACAGTTCGTTCATCCTTGCCTGGATGATAAAGAGCTTCATAGCCATCAACACTCTCCTTTTGTTCACTTGAGCCTCCTGTCAGATCACGCCGGCAGCTAAAATTCCCATTCACGCCGATGTGAGAAGATGTTTCAGATTGCTGAGGATTGTCGGCAGGAAGGACATGGGGGATAATTTGGAAGAGGATGTCTTCATGTATTTCGCAATCGTAAGCTTTTTCCCATTGATCACGGTCACTGTAAGAGCTTATTTAGTATGCATAGCCTCACATAGCTCAAGGAAAACGGCCTACAAGTCCTCGCACAGAGCTACAAATTGTTCGGATGATGAGGCATTGGCAGAGGTGGAACAGTATCGAACAAAATATTCCTGAGATAGTTTTCCATGCGGAAGATTGGCATTGGTAACGTAGATATTGGTATGTGCGTTATATTGCTTGCTGACATTCCCTGAGACATCGTCACTCCATGGCGTTACACGCAAGCGATACATTGGGCAGCCTCTTGCCACCTCCCGAAGTGGGTTGGGCATTGGAAAGATGGGAGAATAAGCTAGATCAATCTCATTAGAATTGAAACCCTTGGGAGAGGCAAGCGAGAAAAGCTGTACCTGAGAATTGCACGCCTCCCGGAGCATGGACTCTGATATCGAGAATGTTCTCAGTCAATGACATTGCTGGAATGCGAGACACCTTGTGAGTATGTATCGTTACATATAAGAATGGAAGTTCGCCCTCAGAAAGCCCAGTTTCAGTCACGGTTTCCAGGACATCTGCATGCACTATGCCATTCACAGTCACCCAGCGTAAAATGACTACATAAGAGTCATCTGATAACCGAGCCAGTTCTTTGATGTAGAAATGACGATGTCGTAGTCCGGGAGAAGTCCAGTTGGCCCACATGGGCGATAGCTCATCGAGATCAACCTCCTCAAGCCATTTAGCTGCCTGGTATGTTTCTGTAATTGGTCCAGCTACCTCAGGATAGACGTGAATATGTTTTCGTACAAGGGGATTGGCCCAGTCCTAGATTCTGAGTGAGATCTTTGAGACTAAATTTTGTAAAGTAGTATCCCACCAGTGCCAGCAGCTTCCGAGGATGGTTCATATAAAAATGATTTCCCAGTGCGGAAATATGATGCTCAGGCTTCAAACCAAATGCGTGAGTAAGTTTGGTCTGGGTCTTGCATAGTGCTGAAAAGGAAGGTACATCTGGAGTGCCGCATTCTCTCATGACCCAAATCACAGCCTTGAGATGGTCATCCGATAGACGTAGCCTAGGTAAATTATCCAAAAGATCCAGCATGAACATCTATAGTGAATAGCAAATCAATTTCGGTGCAGGTGAGGTGATAAAACGGAGTCTTTATACCGTTTTGGACTTATGCGGATACCAATCAGCGTCTGCTTTGGATTCTTGATCCCAGCTTGCCACATCATCGTCACCATCATCTTCATCGTCGTTGTCGTCTCCGATTGCTGAAAATTATTGCACTTTGAGTATATTCTTTTAAACTGATCAAAGTTTACAAAGCTCACCTAAGGCCTCCAGATCAGCTATCATTTGTGAGGCAGTGGAAGACAGATTATCTTCAGCAAGATCATCTGGTGCAGCAGACTCGGCGTCGTCAAAACGACCAAACAAGGTATGTCTCTCAAGCAATGCAAGACCATCCAGCTGCTTATATAACCTATGTCTACGCTGTTCCATAGCATGGACCTCCCGCTCTCCTGCAGAGAAGAGAATGTTTCTGCCAAAATTATCCTGGTATACGCCTTGGGCCTCATCAAGGTGAACATCATTGAACAAGTCCTTGGATATGTCAGCATCTATGACCATGTTCAAATCATCTTGCAGGTATTCATTCAGTGTCCGTAAGCTGGCAAAACGAGGAAGTGTTGGCTGACTTGGCGGAACAGGAAGTGTGCGTGAGGCTGTTATGTCAGAGATAGAGTCTCCGTTGGTGCGTTCCAGTGCTCGGATGTGTTGCCGTGTCTTAATATGAGAGGATTTAGATGTTTTCTTGATGACCACATCGGCCGTCTCAGATAAGTCTGAGCAGATACGACAAAGCAAACGTTCCTTGTCGTTAGGAATGATCTCAAAATCTAATTTATGGTCAGATGTTTATCTTTCTTACATTTCAGTTAATTTTACCTGAACGATGAGCAGGCATGGCTCAAGAGGTGTATGTCAAGTTGTTGCCGAATGAACTTCAGTGATTTTTGTCGAATGTTTGGTGAGCGTGGGAATTTTTCATTGCGTCTTCACCCGCCACAGTTTTCTCTCTCTTTTATCCTCACTCTCGTGCACAATCTTGGTGCTGCTTGTGTTCCTCTTCTTCATATCATGTCATCTTTGTCTCATTATCTTAATAGCTCTCCCCCTGCAACACCGCGTTCTCAGCCATCGTCTTTACCAGATGATGACTTGAGTGGTGCCACCTCGAATGGTGGACCAAGACCTGCAGAATCGATGGACATCACTCCCACTGTGAGACGTTCAGCAACAGTCAATGGTAACAGCTCCATTGCCCTACGCCAAGGGCTAGGCGACTTGTCTCAGTATTCCCTCACTCTTTCACGCACTCTGCAGCTCAAACCGGTGGATTGCGAGTTACTGAGCGCATTTGCAAAGGTACTTGGTCTCAAATACATCCTAGAGATACTCTCACTGATCTCTTGTTGTCTAAAGTTGCCGGGTGTTGAGCTGAAAGATATATGGACCGCTGCCTACCTTATCTCCATCAAGGATCGACTGAACGTTCTCCAGCCATCAGGAGTCTATGAGATTCCTTCTACACTTAGCGTGCGTGTTTTTTTGCCAGAGTTTTGCCATCTCATAATGGGATTTCAGAGTAAGATAGACGAATGGTCCATTCGGTACTTTCTGGACCCTACGATTTCTGCATACAAGTCCGAGGAGTGGCCAAAAAAGAAACTATTGGTATGTTTACTGGTGCTGACTGAAGGAATTTAGCTGAAGTCTTGTAGCGCAAGCTCAAAGCTCGACCAGACTGGGGTTTAACGGAGGCAGTCGCCAACCACAAGCCTGCCATGCGTGTTATCACACAAGAAATCGGATCACGCTTTATCCATCACCGCAACGTGACCAAAGAAGAGGTGTGTTATACACAAGCTCACTCTCCATTGCTGTCTGATGCGTGTTAAATAGATTGGACGATCTTTCGGAACCTTTGACAAGACCCTCCAGGCATTCACGGGTGAGTCGGTTGGTATTGCCGAGTTGTGTGAGAGGATCATCACTGCTGTTGGTGGCAAGTCCTGTGATACTGTGGTCTCAATTCCTCTGATGGCCCGTGTTGCTTTCCTGGTATGCTTCTCATTGCTTTGAATGTCTCCTCAGTCCTGACCAACAGACTAGCGCAATAGCTTTGCACTTCGTGCTGGATGCTCCACAGATGGCAAGGCTAGTGCTGGCTGGTGGGATGAGGTCGATGCTGATCTGAAAGAACTGCGAGAGAAGAAAGACAATAATCAAATGCGCATTACGGTGTAAGTCCAGTTTCATTGAGTGTCGGACTATTCTGATAGCATTTCCCTTAATAGAGTCCTCCGCAAGATGCTCGACGATGATCGTGCTAACTATGGCAATACCGCTTCTGTGGGTGATCTGAGCAGCTATCCTGCAGAGGCCCAAGTTGTCGCTGATGATTGATCTGAGTACGGGAGTTCATGATCACTACATTCCTTGACTTCACCGTCATTCTTTTCACTTTAAAGTTTTAAGATACCGTCCACTGTTTTAATTCTTGATTAATGCTATACAATCTGCGTTGACATTTACATGAGCAATTAGCGCAGTATCTCCAATGAACAAAATACGCCGGTCTAAGGGAAGCTCAGCAGAATAGAGAGAAATAAGATGGATTATGGACATGACATCAAATGTAAGATAATACAAGCCATGATATCCATCTGCGACATCCCTATTAAACATCTCGGACAGATCAGCTCGGATATGTCGCCAGATATGCCCCTTATGAAGGCTCCTGCAATTGAGGATCTGATATGCCACGGTACATCGGTCAGGTGTCACCAAATATCAGGGGGATTACACAGCCATATGATTCTTCCGACATTGTTGAAATATCTTTTCCGGTGGGCGGTGTAGTCGGCAGTTTGATAGGCATTTCTAGCGTTGGTTGGCTTCTTGTTCAACGTTGATCCGCTTCGCGCAAACAGCAGAGAAGGAAGTTAAAATTGAGATTTGGCTAACTGTAGGACTGATAAGCTGGAAGGAATACGCAAAAGGATAAAATGACATACCTAAGCTGTGTGGTAAGAGAGAAAGGAGCAAGGAAGGAAGGTAAGTCGGAACGAGCATGATGCCAAATACGCACAAATACTTCGGATCGATGTGCCGCTTTTCGGCTGGTTCCCTTTCCCCTTGTATTTTGCTCCCGCTGTTCCTGTTTGTTCCTCGTCTACAAATTGCAAGCATCAGATGATGGCATGCGTGACTTTGGGTCGCCGGCGACCGTGGAAGCTTGAGAAGTAAGTAAATGCAGAAATCGTCAACCACAGCATTCCGAGTCTCTAAAGGACAACCAAAGCTGAATGTATCGCGTCTTAAACTTGCTATGTTCACTCGCTATTTCTCGAGCCGACCGTATCCTCACGGTACCTCAGATATTGGATCTCTGAAGCGACCACATCGATAGCTCACACGAATCCCGTGCCCGCAGTTCGCTATGTTTTCCTTTTTTATTGGTTTTGTCTAATAAACCATTGCACTTTAGGCCCAACATACAGTTTTGTCTGCCTTCCTCCTTAGCTGCACTCGGCTTCCTCTTTACTGGCCAGTCTTGCTCGATGTTTACCCAACTGTGGAGCTTCTGCTCTCGTGATTTATTCAATCGAAAGTCTATCATCGATTTGAAGCGACACTTCACCTCCTGGTGGTCCGTCCGGGTATCAGGGCGGCTGGGTGGATTCTACCGGCTGGTATGACTGATGAATTCACTCTAAGCGAATCCAAGAAACATAAATTTCGCCCACCGTCTGCTGACGTGTCTCTTGTGTACTAAAAGCGCTTTGTACATGCTCATTCCCGTCGCCCAGTACTCCGAACCATTGAAGTTGCTATTCGCATCAGTGATGGGTATCATATGAGTGCAGGGAAGGATTGGATTTTTGAGGGCAAGGCATTGTCATTCTCGAAACCTTTTCCTTTTCATGCTTATATACTGAAGGTCTCCTCCGATCCGATAAACAAAATTGTCAGTCCCCAGCGATACTCTTCCACATTTATCCCATCTTCAAACCGTCATGCGCAGACCAATTGATGTCGCCTACATTGATGCGAGGCATATTGCATTCCGTTCTTCCCAAAGGACTTTCCCGAGGCAAATAGGCGCCCTTTCTGGTTAGTCCTCCGTCAAATTATATGGTTGGATTCTATATCAGACTTGGGATGTAGGAGAATGCATGACAACGGATGAACTGTCTTTTACGCCACATTATGTGGGTGCACTTCACTGTACGTTGATGTCCTTTCACTCAATTACGGCTTTTCTGACTCTCCGTGCGACAGCAGATTGCATTTCTGTATAAAAATACAATGTAATCGACTCTACTGTGTGTATTGCGCGCGGCCATGTGCCAATAGTTGAGATACGCGACACCGAAGGACCTGTAATCCTATGCCGCTCTCTTAGTACCCTGCGAACATTTAGGGACTACGGGGCTAGACTTACCGTTAAAGTCCACTTTCTTAGCGCTGGACTTCTGTTCTTCGATATAACCCTTCCAGCGCAGTTTAACTTGCATCGGGGCATATAAGCCTCCCTATTCTAACAACTGTGTCATGTATATCGAGTTCGAGAACCATTCATCGAAGTTCCGTCTATGACTCTGGATCCCCGTCGGGACTTTAGAATCACTAAGGCGTCCGAGTGAAACTCAAATCATATTTCACCCTTTGAAAAACAGTTCTTATTGGTTCAGCTTCCACGTAGGCCATAGGGTGCATATGCGAACCCTGTAGAGGCGAAATCACACTAATGCGGCAACCATGTAAAAGGAGAATGATGATATTCTTAGCAACGATTGAGAGTGGGTCAAAGCAGATGCGTAAGCTTCTGAATCGAGACTAGGGTATCCACGGTAGAGATGAGAACGGATCACTTTCAAAGTCGGTACCAAAAGTTTACCGATCTTATTTTCGGTGTTTAAGGGTATCTTTGAGGTACCTGAACGCTCAAAGCTAAGCACGCGCTCAGAAGTTACTCCTGGACTGCGCACGATAGCTTGTTGATAGTATCACCATCCTCAGTACTAGACACCCCCTGAATTAGATCTGGAAATACCTCGGAATGACTTGGCGGTAAGCACCGAGTCCGAGAACTGCGCAGGTTGTTACATCCTTTCCCTTCCCTCTGTCAATTGTAGTGGAGTTCGCGACTGATGTACGTGTTGTGCAGGCTCTAAGGTATGTCTAATTCAAGAAGAAGAAGAAGGCATCCACACCGGATTCAGAATGACGAAAAACCTAGTACCGGTGGATATGTTCAGCAAGCCGTAAATGTTAAAATAACGCATAAATCACTTTTGCTCGTGCCTCAATAAAGTAGGAAAGCCAAGGTGGTCAGGCACTCCGGCTACCATCTTGAGGGAGTATGCACCGAAATCACTATGTGTTGAATACGAGAAACACTATCCGACGTCTATAGGACAGATTGAGTTGCCACTATTGCGCGATGTAACGCTCGGTTAAGTCCGTTGCATTGATCCTGATCACTCCGTATCTGAAATTAAACGGAAGCTGTCGCGATTGGGATATGATCGTCAGTGGTGATGCTCTTCCCATCATCTCCTGCATCGCATAGGATATTGGTCCCTCAATAAAGAGAGAGGTATGAAACTCTCACAATGATAATCGCAACAACTAAATTCAAGAAGCTCTCTCAGTGGACAGGATGTCACCTTCAAGAAGACATCCAGCGGGAGGGGGAACGAATCCCACCAGCACGCGAAGTCAACCAAAAATTACCGCAGCTAGATGAACACCGTGATAGCCGACTTGCCCACCAGACGCAAAAAGACAACGTTCCTGCGCAATACGAGGATGCAGTCTATGAATCAGAAACATCCATCCTCCGGTGAGCGTCACCGCGATCACCTTGAGATACAAGTACCTTGGAGCCTGGTTTTCTAGCACTAACAATCCCATGGAAGGGAATTGGTCCAGAACAGGACGGATCTCTGGAGCCGCGGCTCTCATGAAGCATCTACACTTGGCCGGTATAAAAGAATGGGACTGAAGTTAGTAGGAGAATAGGTTCTCTGTGTCCTACAATCCTCTAACACACTGACTGCTGTTTGCAATGGCTCTCCGGACTGCTGTCTTAGAACCATCCTCCGCGTTCTTCGTTTCCAAGAAGGGTCCGAGGGAGACATTCACCTCGAGCTCTGCTTCAGTTATCTCAAATGTCAATACCCTCCTCGCACCACTGACTCGGACTGAGGTTGGTGCTTGTTGGGAGCTCTGCCGTCTTCAAAACGGTATGGGATGTGCGACAGTACTCCTTCCAGTGGGTGAGTGTGCACTGTGGATATTCGTGTACTTTCTTTGCCTTTTGGCTAACCGGGAAAATTAGCATGGTCTTTAGCAATGGTGTATCACGCGTACCCTCAGCTTACCGGACTAGAATGCCTTAACCGGGCCGCCGTTTACTTTTTTCTTTGCATCGGCATAAAATGTTTGGTAAGCTCAATCCTTTCGCGTTTGTAACTATGATCTCATCTTTAATCTAAGATCATGACCATTGACGATATCCTCGACTATGATATCGATGCAAAAGTCGAGCGTACGAAGAACCGGCCACTTCCTAGAGGTGCTATAAGCATTGAGCGTGCCTGGTTGTTCTTCGCTCTCCAAGCCGTGATTGGTGTCTTTTTGGCATACAAGGTTCTGAGCCCTGACGCGTGAGTATTTTTCCCTGACGTTCTTTCCTATGTTCACCTTGTGTACTCAGTCGACGCATATCCATGTATGTGTGGCCGTTGTACGTGCTGTACCCCACTTGCAAGCGCTGGATGTACTTCGCCCCCATTCCTCTGGTACGTAGCGTAGCGTCGTGATACACAAGCAACTTCCTCATTCCAACCTTCGCTCCAGGGCTTGATGTTCAACATCGGCATCTACATGGGATGGGCTGATCTCACACCGGACGGAAGGATCCCGTACTACAGCCTCACTGCAGCATACTTCGGTGCTACGATGTGGACCATCACATACGAGACCGTGTATCAACATCAGGACAAGGTAGACGACGTCAAGATTGGTATGAAGTCGCTTGCCATCCTATGCGGCAAGTACACCATCCTAATTTGTTCCGCTACCACCTTTGGATTTGCGACTTTGATGACATTGGCTGGTTATCTGAACGGCCAAGGCATTGCCTATTATATCGCTATCGCTATGTCTGCCTTTGTCATACTGAAGGAACTTGCCGTCACAGACATTGACGAGCCTAGGGAGTGCATGAAGTTTTTCTTGCGAACGCCGGCCATTGGTAATTTGATTCTTGCTGGATTGGTCATTGATGTTGGAGTTCAGCGTGTCCTTGCGGGAATCTCTCTTTGATATATACAGAACTATGCTTTTAAATTAACATCATTTATCCATTTTTATCGAGTCCGTCAAGTACAATGTCAAGGCGTATTTCATTTTCTTTGCTCTTGTTATGAAACCAGAGTGCACTTGAATAGGAGTATTTCAGACGCCTAATAGTGACGGCTATACTGGTAAGTGATCGTTTGTCGAGGATGACTTCCGGCTGGCAGGATGTATGGGGCAGGTAAGTAAAGAGGACGTTCGGGGTATAAATTATTTCAGGCCTTGGAAATGCACTGTGATGCTATCCAAGAGAACATGGTAGACTTTGAGGAGTTCGTTGCTTTCAAAGTCGGTCAAAAGCACATATTTGTTCCATCCGTTCTCCCTGTATCGTATTCGACTGAGCTGTGACAGTTTCAAGAGCAATAGAAGGACTTACAAAATATTTCTCCGAGGAGAGCGATGGGGAGCTTCACAGGAACTTTCAGTTAAGAGACGAAACACCAAACAAAAACTTAGGCATGTATCCCGCCTAGACCATTTCGGGACAGGAGCCGCCAGCTTGTATGGCTGCTTTCTGCATTTATAGGCGAGGAATACCGAATACGTTTGGAGAGAAAGACGAAACACCTAGCTTGCTTTGAAGCACTTAAGGGACCATTGGAGCTCTTGGATGGAGATCTGCAATGTGCACGTCAACAATCAACTCATTGACGACCAGAGTAAATGTACTTTCCGATACACCAGATGCCTTAAAATGCGCGTTATTGATGGCAAGGGTCTTTTTATCGAAGGCTTATCCTGCGCAAAGGTTTTGTCTAGAATGGTCTGGGAGGACGACGGAGCTAGGAGTGGGGTGTGAGATGGGATATAAGGAGCATATAGTCAATTGTAAATGAGTGTGCCGGATACAAAAGGGTGAATGATATGTTGATTCAGTGGTAGATATTCCAAGGGAGAGGGATTCGTTCATATGGGTCATGCCAGATCTATCGAACCAGTTAACACTTGAGGGTTTCCTCTTCACATCGTGTCTATATCTAATTTGTGAATTAATACCCTGATGGAGAAATAATGCACATACTGCAATGAAGCGAGACTTTATTCGGCCGTGTAAGTGGAACCAGATGCCTGGTTGTAGCCGTCATCACCGTTCTGGAGGTAGGGTGGTCCACTGGGTGAAAGCAGCATTGAGGAAGAAATTAAATGAGAGAACGAATAAGACGCTACCAATGAATATAATGAGAGACTAGCATCACACTTCACTGGGTGTAGGAACTCGTCAAGATTTTCGCCTGCATGTGTACTAAAAAATGGGGTCTCCATGCAAGACCGCAAGTGTCGTCCACGTGGGGATGATATTCCGATGGATGGGCGCGACTGGGAGATATAGGAAATGTGGTGTTAATCGTGTCAGTATAACTAACACGGAAGAAAGTGAGACAAGTTACCAGTCGAAAGTGGAAATTTGCGATGAAGCAGGCGGAGGATCGTCTGGGAAGATGTGGACTGAATTTGTAAGGAAAGAACACCATTGGTAAATATGCATGAGTACGAATATAAACGGCCTCTAACAGACGCGTCGCTTTCGCTGCATTCGCCACGTAGAAGGCTAAAGTCAATGTTGTTATTTCAAACCTCCTCTTTCGCATCAATGCAAATCCCAGCACTGTCTAGAAGGTCTAGGACGTAGGCATCGTGGTCCCTGTGGCTACTGATCATGCATCCTGTCGATAATCGCGAAGAAGAAAATAAGAAAAGGTGCGCCATTCACGCGTTTGTCGCTCCTGTTTCTCCACGGATGCCATCCAAAAACGCGTCATTCGACCAAATTTCGAGAGGTTGGGTGCGAACAACGGTGAATTCAGCGGTCAAACACAGGTGTACACGACCTTACCTCCTTGACGCGTCGTGTAGCGGGAAAGGGAGATCAGCAGCATCGAAATCAAACAGGATACCAACCCAGCATAGTGGGGATATTTTTGAGCTTGAGGAGGATTCCGAGGAATAAGGGGGTTTGCTGTCGTCGCTGAGAAAACATGTGAGTCGTACGTGAAGGTTTTGAGCATAACGCACTTTGTCTTGAGTGGCTGCTCTCGTGACAAAAACAGGAGGTGCAAATTGCAAGCATATCTGCATGGCGTTGGAACCGTATCGCTAAGTCCGATAGAGAGAATGAGGGATAGCTAGTGATGGTCGCGGGTATAGCTACAAACAAGCGGGAAACTACGGATATGATACACGTGATCACAGAGGAACCGGACCGTGCCTACTACGCTCCCCGGGTTGTGTATTGAAGAAGGAGGCACCGTGGCGGCCGACATTATTGGAAGGCAAATGCTAAGTTGTGGCGTACTGTCCCGGTGGTCTGGAAAATCTTTCATGGAAGCGTCTCCCAATCGGTACAAGCTAAATCTGTATCCGTGATGTTCGTCCATAGAGCCCCAGAATACTACTGGTAGTTTGAACATTGTCTTGGCGCCAATGCTTGACCCATTTCTCCTCGAGTGTTTTTAGCGCTATGTGCCATAGTCAGGTTCCAAGTCACAAAAATGAGGTTGGGGACGATAACACAAGACTAAGGTTTCTTGCGAGATCCGCCCAAGGATTAGAGATTACTATAAGAGTCCTGTAATTCATAGAAATATGGGTGGTAAGCATCACAGTACACACCGTTTATCATCATAGTCGTTAGTTGTCGTCGAGCCAGCTGGGCCTAGTAGTTCCAAGAACGGCGAAATACCATCCCTGAAGATGAGGGCGTTGTTGTTACGATTTATTCTTTTCTTTTCTTTTTCCTTTGTATTACTCAGCCTGATTACTCCTTTGCGATCAGGACGGACACATTCTCACAGTACTATTTTTAGTTTACCAACGTGTATTTAAGTAGAGCCTCAGCTGGTCTAAACCCCAGCTTCGGCTAAGGTTTAATCTACCTAACATCGAACTCCGTTCTTCGTGACTACTTGTCCCATCGACTTTCATCGCCTTTGACTTACTAGAGTACCGTCTACCGAAGTGCGAGTAGCGATCCTAGTACGATCTAAGTCGATAGAGTTAGTGGCTAACATTTAGCCGAAGCTCGCTATACCGTTGCCCAACATATTCCCTATTCACATCATCCTTGTCGTCGCACTTCTGGTGCTACGATTTCTACTCCGTGACCCCCTTGGCTTGGCTATCGTAACCATCCTATGGGTCTTTCTCATCTGCGTATACATCCCATCCCCATTGCTTGCGGGATTACTCCTGCTGCTCTGGGTCGGATTTCTACACCACTATTAAAAACACGAAACCCTTTATCCTCGTCTTCCAGCTTGCCTCCATATTAACAATTCTGTTGTTAATAGTAACAAGCACCTCCGAAAATTGCGAAATCTTGTTGATGAACGGCTCTAACTACGAGACCGACCTCAGCTTGATCATCGCGATCCTCATTGTCCTCACCATACTCGCTGTCTACCAGCTTGCATGGTCAATCATCGACTTACACCAAGGATAGATCCACTCACGGATGCCCTGGTCCGAGTCCATTCCCGCCGTCTTCGCGACTTTTATACTCTTTTTCTTGTCCATTATTTTGTACCGACTACACCGCTGTTTTCAACAACAGAGACGAGTTCGCACGCAACTCCCATTTCACTACGTCCCCAGTACACCGGCATATCCACCGCCGGTAATTCACATTCCCGTGGCATCTCAGCAGACGATACAAGATGTCGAATCCAACGTCTCCGGGGAACCTGGAGGATCCCTCTACACATCATCGCGACCCAGCTCGCGATCCTCAGAGTCGAGCACCGACTCCTACAGAAGCGTTGCAAACGAGTCAGTCGGCTCCATCGACATCACCGATACCTGGGGCATACTCCTCGACCGAGGAGACTCGCCCATACCAGGCCTCTTCGACCAGTCTCCAGTCGAAGACGAGCCAAGCCCCGACCGAGGCCGAAGACAAGGCACCAGGCCTCTGGACGAGGGCGAAGAAGGCTCTGACACCGAGTACGAAGGGGACGACCTCACCAAGTGGGAAAGGACCCGCCTCGACGACCTCTACCCGGACGAGGAGGAAAATGCAACCTATACCGGAGATAACTTCAGTGGAAGGTCAGGAAACAAGTGGACAGATGCGGTTTGGAAGAGCGAGAGCAGAAGATACAGGGTCGCCCAGGAGGATGACTACGACAGCGATTCCGGAGAGCTTGGCCTCGGAGCCTCCACGGCTACCACCAGTACAGCTAACGCACAGTCTCTTCCAAGGTCCTGGCCGACCAATAGGGGAGAGCCAGTCGCCTGGTACCCCAGGACCAGCTGGGTATACGCTGACAGGGAAGAGGTTGCTGTGGCCGGAGTCACGTCCGGAGGAGAGCCCGACCCGATCCCTGAAGAGCCCGAGGCCCCCGCGATCGCTCCCGCCGTCTCCTCACACGAGCCGACAAGTGGGGAGCTTTGGAGCGAGTTCCCAGAATACAACGCCGAGGAACTTGGAACAGTTACCGTTTCCGAGCGACTCGCCGGAGTCTCCAATTGGGAACCGTCCGTCCCATCGCGAGCCTTTGCCACCCCTGTCCCGGCCTCCCAGCGTCCTTGGCCCCTCCTCTATCACACGTACGTCGAGTCCCTCGGACTCACTCGAAATGCCCGGCTCGCCCCAGAAATTGAGGCCCGAATGGAGCGAGGCAGAGCGCATGATGCATGCATCCGACGTGCCGAAGAAGACGCCCTCCAGGGACCTGGAGGCTGGTGGGACCTACCACTCGAGCCCGACGCCACCGACGCCGAAGTCGAGAATCGAATCCGTGCAGCTGCCGTTCGATACTCCGGCGCCGCTCGAAGAGCAGGGACCGATCTCGAGGCCAGAAGAAGGGCCTGGGATGCCTATCAGGCTGAGATCAGCGACGAGGACTCAGACATCGGACGATGGAGGAGGAACAAGGAGATCGACCGACTCGCCAGAGAGAGGAAGGAGGCCGAGGATGCCGAGTCGGCCGCCAAACAGCTCCCTCGAGACCGAGGTGATGAGAGCGGTCCGGACGATCCTGGTCGACCCCGCGGCCCCGACTCCAACAATCTTTAATATCCTACCATGGCACGGGCTGTACG